CGTGCTGCTTAGACAAAGGATGCAGACTTGTTACAACTTCATCATGAGCAAGCTCAGACTAGATTGACGCTTAAGGCACTTTGAGATTTAGGATTAGCTGTGTTCCCAATCAAAAACTTATACTGGAGATGCTTTGTGAGGCATATTCTACTATATATTTGTGGCCGAGTATAAAGACTGAGATTTGTGGCCAAATGTTTGATCTATCAGATGGTTAGGACTAAATGTAGTCTGTTGCAGCCCCTTCACATTCCAGATTGGAAATGAAAGGAGATTTTAATGAATTTTTTTGATTGGCTTGTAGAGATTGAAGCAAGAACATAATGCTCTTTGGGTGTGATCGATAGGGTAATTAAATCAACTCATTTTCTATCAATTAAGCTGACTTATTCTGTGGAGAAGTTAGCCAAGGTAATGGAGTTCCAATGATCATTATATCTGATCGAGATGGGATATTTACTTCTAAGATATGGAAGCAAATGCAAGAAACTTTGGTTGCTAGTTTGAATTTTAGTACTTCTTTTCATTCTCAGATAAACAGACAGTCGGAGCACACCGTTACTGCCCTTGAAGACTTATTGAAAGCTTGTATTTTGGACTCTGAAGGCAATTCTATTGATCATAATCTGTTGGTCGAGTTTAGCTATAGTAACAGTTTCCAGTCGAGCATCGACATGTCACCATACGAAAAATTTTTTGACAGGAAATGAATATCCCCTTTGTGTTGGTTCGAGTTTGGTAAAATACTTATATTTGATCTTGGTGGATCAGGCCACCGTGAAGGTTCGTCATATTTGAGATCGACTACATGTGGCTCAAGATCTTCAGAAGAAATATTTCGACCTCAAACACAAAAGTTGAGTTAAAGGTTGGCGATAATGTTTTTCTGAAGGTTTCACCTATGCATGGAGAAGATGTGGCCAGTGGAATGCTCCATTCTCACTTCATTAGTCCTTTTGAAGTGATCAAGAAAGTTGACAGTGTTTCATACAATTTGACTCTTCCTCTAAGGCTTGAGGAGTATTTCTTTCATGTTTCTCTACTTTGACGCTACGTGCATGTTAACTCTCACAACATTTGATATGAGCTGTTGGTGATTTGAGAAGAGTTGTGTAGAAGTACTATATCGCATCTTGGAGCATGAAGCTCAATAGCTTTGTTACCTATTTGATACCAGAACTAATCAAACCAATGGTAACGAAAGCAACTTTTATTAAGCAAATGATTAGGGTTAAAAGTACGGCTCAAAACTGAAATTAAATAGCAACTAACATCAATCTTCGTGGTGTTGTTGGTGGATTGGTTGAAAGTAGCAGTGGTAGATGAAAGGGCCGACGATAGTCGTGAGGAAAAGAAGATGGCGGCAACAGCTGGGGGTTGCAGGGAAGGGTTACGATAGTGGGGGAAGTGGTAAGATGGTTGGAGGTACTTCAGGAAGGCTGTATGGAAGGAGCTAAGGTGCAGGTTCGGCAGCTGGAGAGGGGCGACAATAGGTGTGCGGTAGGGGAAGGGGTGGAAAGGGTAAACAGTGAACTGCAAGAGCAAACCAACCGACAAATAGAGATTAAGAAAGAGAGGACAAAGGGAAATACAACGCCGCCTCAAAGCAGGGTACAACTTGAGCACCACATATTGTCAGATACAACCGTAGCAAAGGGAAAAGACTTCATGCAAAAGTCTAAAAAATAATCACACCAAAACATTACCATATTTCAACAAACACACACATATATAATAGCGCAATTAGATAAACACACACATATATAATAGCAATTAGATAAAATAGGATTGGAAGGTACTCCCCTAGGTGGCCACCAGAAAAGGAAAGGGAGAAAGGGGTGGCAAACAGACGCTTGGATCGGGGGATACGCGGTATCTCTCGCTTCTAAGAAGACTAGCTGGTCCAGTAGGGGGCTAGACCAGAATCCATTCTAGTCAGTTTAGCAGCAAAGGTAACAAAGGTTAGAAATGCTACAAAGGTACTAGAATGAGAGCATGGAATAATATCCCTACCATCAAGATGTGCATTAAAAGCAAGAACCTCAATGGTGGTAGAAATACTAATTAAGTGAGTAGCCTTCCCGAGAAGGCACTGATACCAACGTAAGATTCGAAGTTGATTCCAAAATTTGTGCTTGAATTAGATCATAATATAAATAAAACTATCACCATAAGATTGAAGGATAGATTTCCATTAGATGAAACATCGTCATCACCACTATTATTAAATTTTTATAGCTGAATGTGTGCCCTGAAATTTTTTGAGTAGCGACTAAAAGTTTTACAAAAGAAACAATAAATGTTAAAATCTTCAAACTCAAGCCTTTCACCTATAACCATTAGAAGTGAAGCCAATCCAAATTTCTCTCTTACCAATTTGATCAAAATCTTAGCCATTAATTTCCTAAAAAGCCTAAAAGTAACTACATTACCTGAAAGTCTTACCAAAATCGAACCAAGAGAATACAAAATGGATTTATTGAAATAGTGAATTTATAGTCGTTGAAAATAATATAAATTGAAGCGGTAGGAAATTCCATAGAACAATTAAATTGATGTCTCCTATGGCATACACATAAAAAACTCATCGTTATAGTATATTTTTGGGGAAAATATTTTACTAATTAGATTCTAGGGACATCTTTATGAGAACATGACACATTGTTAAGTGTCACATTATAACCCATAACCAAAATAGTTCAGCCATGAATCTATTAGTCACAACCTCCGTACTGGGATGGTCTAGAAAAATTTGTCAATAAGGAGAGAAAAAGATGAATGCAACTCTCAAATATTCTTGTCAAACAATATTGGTGTTACGTTGTCTTGAAAATAGGATGGTTGCTTATGGCGAGTAGTTTTGAGTACTTATTAGAAATGGTTAGGGAAATGAGGGGACTCAACCAAATGACCATGATTATTATCCCCTTAACGATCTTATCAAATAATTGGCCAATGCAAGGCAATGCAGTTCTTAAAGAAGGACAAGCATGAAGAGTACGAATAATTACTGGAGAAAGATTGTAATTATGTCAAGCTTGAGGAGTATTTAGTGAAATGGATGCAAAGGAAGATCTTGGTCCACTTGGAGAGTGAATGTATGGTGTTAGGCATGAGAAATAAAAGCAAAAGTTTAATGGAAGTGACCCAAGCCTAAACAACAATGTTACTACTATTGATGCCAAAATGAGAGATGACGCGTGCTTATACCAAAGGGATAATGCCCTTCATAGAGTCACAAGCTCTGGATTAGTGAGACCATGAACATGTAATGGTTAACTAACATTCCATAAGCCAAATTTGCAACAAAGATTTGTTGGACGTAGTCATTAGTGGAAATCTCACTAACATGAATGTTACACCACAACCGTGTCACTTGCGCAAGAAACCTTGTGTGCACACAAGATTGGAGGGCACATGGGAAGGAGAGTTCAAGCATGAAAGTAATGAGTGATCCTCAAGCAACGAAACGAGCTTATGAGTTCACCCGCACCCGAAATGCGAGATGATGCATGAATAAGATGGTAAGTGAGTGATTGCTTGCATAATTGTGTACGACCAATAGACAAAGAGGTTGCTAGGGTGTTGCTAGGGCAAGGAGATTGCAAACCATATGATAAATAAATTTTATTCTGTCGATTATCTGAAAAATGTACATACAAGTTTCAAAAACAAATTTATGTAGATTAAGGTTACTACTTTGAATACTACGTAGTAATGAATCCTGAATGATGATAAAGAAAGTTGACCTAAAATATACGGTTTATATGGTGATTAAATTTTTTGTGCTGGCTCAAAGTTGGTAAAGTTACTTGCAGTTCGACTTTTTATCACATCTTTGCTAAATAGATGACATCATATTTACTAGCAAGAGTTTACTTTATATTACAACCCATTTTTTAGGGAACTAAATATCTGGTGGAAAGGGGAGAGCAAGAATATTGTGTTATCAAATTAATGGAGAAAACATGCAAAAGGAAATATATCTATCCAATATGGAGAGTAGAAGAAGAAAAATTTATTTACACTACTTGGAGCAACTACGTACACAACTTGGAGACACCACACATATAGGGCCGTGTGTTAATTGGTTTAAGTTGAAAAATAAAAACAAATTGAACAGATTTTTTTATTGTTTGGTTATGAAATCACAGTTCGGCTTTTGGTTTCAAATTAAAGTTTATTGGATTTTATTTATTGGTTCAATTTGATAAAGAAATTCGATTAAACTTAGTCATATTATAGTTAAACTAAATAGTTTAACAAATTGATTTAACAAATATGTCAACCAATCAATTTAAAGTTACTGATTGCACACGTATTCATTAGAATTTAAAAAATGTCAAACTAAACTTGAACCGAATAAATCAAACAATATTTTGGTTCAGTTTAGTTTGATTTACATCTTATCTTATCTGGTCAATTTGGTTTTGTTTATTTTTGTTTTGTTTCATTTGGTTTAATAAATTTTCCATCGATCCGACCTTGAGAGAACATTTATTGGATTGCACAAAATTTCATCAATCATAATCTAATTTCATCCAAAATTATAAAGAAAAATACCTTAAGGATAGGATAAAAATATCCATAGCCGTAGCACTTGTTAAGGATGTGATTAACCTCATTTTTATTAAATAAAAAAAATAAAGGTAAATATCTAAAATTTAGCCCAAATAGATATTTGCTAAGAGGACTAGAAAATTGTTCTGATTAGCTCTTTTACAGTCCTATTTAACTTATTTTGATCAGTTTGAAATTGATAATTTTTGGTGGTAAACTAGCCATTTTGTGCTGCATTAATAGCACTTGAGAAAAAGAACTAATTTAATTTTTATGCATTAATTTTCAATTTGAAAAGTTTTGTTTCTTTATTAGGGTTTAGTCCACTTATTTCTTTATTTTGGCGCTTTTATATGAAACATCACATTCTTTTCTTAGTCTATGAAGAGTGATTAATTTGAAAGATTGTGTTTGATTTCTTTCTTCTTGAACTTCTGCAGGTTGTTGATAATTGGGAGAAAAACAAACCATGGCTTCCAAAAAGTAGGGTTGATGAGGTTAGTACTTCAAGTGTTAAAATGTCACAAATTCATAGTTGTAATAATCATCTATATTTTTAAAAACACGTTACAACAACCCCCTTAGCTCCCCTTCTGCTTCAAAGATAATCCGTCCCTCATCCAAAACAGTTGTAGATCGCCTTGTGCATGCTCTCCATCCAAAAGAAACCAACTCATCCTATTAAGTGAATTATTCTGACCAATTTCATTTGTTCAAAATTACTCGTAGATTCTGAGTGATGCTGACAAATTCGACAGTTGGTTAAAAGAGAAGGAGGCCCTTCAAAAAATGTGAGTGGTACTTGAATTTTGATTTCTCTATTTAGAAATATAATTGTTGAAATATTTTACCTTTTTTTGTCGCCGCCCAAATTTTGATTAATAGCATTCTGGTTTTTGGCATTTTTTTTATTAAACTGACTTGGTAGAAACCTCATTACATCGTTTCTTGTCCAAAACCTTTTGCATGCCTTTTACTTTGATTGGCTTGGACTCTTATACATTAGCAGTTTTTTTCATTCTGAGAATAATTTGTATTTATGAACATTACATATTTGAAGCATCTCAGGAAACTTTTGGCTAGTAATCAAAACAGTGTAAACAAAAAGAAAACAGTGATTTGAGTGGTTTGTACGATGAATTGAGTTGGATTTTGTTGCGATGTTGGATGTATTTACACTTAGGTTATTTTTCTAGTTTTCTCTGATTCATTTTTAATTACTCATCTTACAGATTATTTCCTAAACATAACTTCCATGATAAACTGATCATGTTGTCTTTCTGTCCCCATCCTTGGTTATGATTTGGTTATCCCCATCACATCTTTGCATGGAATGCCTTACCTACAGTGCTCAAGCCTTTTATCTCTCTCTTTTTCTTCACTATGCTGATTTCCTGTGTGGCACCCCTTACAGCTACTTGGCTACCATGTGAGTTGCTCTGGTCATTTATCTTCTTGGATGGCCTGATCAATAACTCAGGCGCTGATGCTCTCCAATCTCTTTATCCTTGAAGCGAACAAGAAAGTGATCATTGTTGTTGTTGACCATACCAATGCTGTTGATGATTAATACATGCTGAAGGAGAAGATGGCGACTACTTTGATATTTAGTCAAAAGCTGGCTTCAATCCTTTAAATGAAAGCCATAATTGCTTCCTAACGTGTTGCTGCAACTTATGAGGACTGGCGGTGCATCAAATCTTCATCGCCGAAGATGCATGATTCCTGTCTGATGCTGCTTATACCATGCTTTGCTTACCTTGCTGACCGCACCGCTTTCATGCATCTCAACATGCATGCCACCGTCACATCCCCAACCGAACTTCTGCATTGCTGCATGCTCCTCTGTAGATTGCTTAGCTATTTCTATAAATGTGCATGCTTAGTTCCCCTCAGGTGATAAGAAGATAAATTCCGCTAAAACAACAGCTAAAATGGCAATGCTAATGAGATACGGAGCTTTTCAATTGTTGGAATAATCTTTTAGTGCTTGTTGAGCAGTCTAATGTTATTTTTTGAGGTGCTGCTTTATTTTTACATTCAGCTGTCACTATTTCCTATGTTTCTTTTTTTCTTTTTTTTTTCTCTCTATTATCATGAACAATTGATTGAATATAAGTCTTCATTTTGAAAATGAATTTATTGTCTGTTTTCAAAATTAGATTGTAGGTAATCTCATGCCCGCTCTGTTGATTTCGTTCTTTCATTTTTACACAATGAAGGTTTTTATAAGAATTCTTTTTTAAAATCAGGTTAATTGGCTGAAATTTTTGCAGGACTTCTCAATTGATCACCCCGGTCATCACGTCAGAAGAGATATATGACAGAGTTTCTGAAATTCAGGACAAGGTAAATTTATTTATTTTCCTTGTAGTAGCAATAATGTGCTTATCCCAATTTTAATGATACGTACGATTACCTTCATTCTTGCAGATCTCTAGCGTCAATAGAATTCCAAAACCCAAAACAAAAGTTGAGAAAGCTCCAAAGGAAGAAGAATCAATAAGCCAAGAAAACTCCACTAACGCATCTAAATTGGCGCCAGATAAAAATTCCACACAAAAGGATCAATCCACAGAAGAATCATCCAAGTCCCCAAGCACCAACCTTGAGGCAGAACCTGAGCTTCATGATGAATTGTAACTGAAGAGCTTTAGGTTGGAATGCTGTTTGAGATAAACAACGAGATAACATCCCTGATGAACATGGCCCCAGTAATTATTCCTCGAATCTACAAGACCCATTACTGGACCTTCGGAATATTTATTTTATAATTTGCTTATCATTGAGTTGAGAGGAACGGTAGAGTTATTAGGAAAGTTATTTGGCAGAATCAGCTTCTGCATCCTATATTTTTGATAGGCTTAAGTATGAGGTAGACTAGCGCATTACCGCCCATCCAACAGAATCTAAGCACCACCCTGTTTTATCCTCAGTGTATCAGCAATTACAGATTATACTGAAGCATGTTAAATATGCTCCATCATATTTCACCCTAATGCTAATGTGGTGTTAACATATACGCTTTCTGTTAGTAGATTATGAAACATAGTACCCGCCTTTAATATTATTACTATTATTATTATTATGATTTTTTTTTTATTATTATTATGTGTGGAAACATTGCATTTTCTCACAGGACACATCGATCTCAAATTTAGCTCCTTCAACCAACTGTTAACCGGACTGGCTTTGTTAAAATAAGCACTCGATAGTTAATCAGTGAGGCATGTGAATTTTTCTTTTACTACATAGGTAATTATTGCTGAGACTTCACCATAGGTGGATTTTGGGGAAAGTGTAATAACCGAATTCTGCTTTTCCACTTTTCACTCTCCTTGATTTGACGTTCCACCTCCCTTCATCTGAAAAAATATTACATCCAGACTTCGGATATACGGACAACGGCTCAGATGCAGTGGAGGAGGGGAGGAATTGGACCTCTGCGCTCCTCGCTGCATGCGAGCTGTTGTCCGCATATCTTGAGTCTTGATGTAATAATTTTTCATGCATCTGAGCAGCTCTAGTAGGGTAATCCCAACTGTTATATTTCTTTTACTTTATTCCCTTCGCATTCTACAAATAATTTTCTGTATTGATGAAATTGCTGGAGTTTCATCCATGTTTAGTGTCTGTCTTTATGGTATCAGATCATAGGCTCAACCTTCAGATGAACATCAAGAATTTGTTCAATATGTTGAAGAATTTCAAGGTCTCCCCTCTACATTCAACGAGTTCTTTTTGTCTATATCTATAGCGGTTAAATTGATCCGACGTGTTCTTCTACATTTTCAATGGTTTACTGCCCATAAATAATCATTCAATATCACAATTCACACAACCACAACTTATCCATTTGGATGACTTATATTCATTGTTATGTAGCGAGGAGATTAAACTTGTGATTAAATTGTTCGGTAGAACACACTCAATGATCCATCACTAGCCCTTATGGCCTGCAAGGGATGCATTTGCTCCTACTTCAAGGGCAGAGGTCTGGAAACACAACTAGTTGTAAAGAAGGAATGCAGGGTGGTAGATCCACCTTAAGATCTACAACTATGTGCCAACACTATCACAAAGCGGGATACTTCGCCACAACTTGTTGGCACTAGACAAATTTGGAATACACTCATATCTGCACTCATGCAATCACGACATGACTAAGTGTTGGATTCCAGTGCCACCACTCACTTGACATCCGATCTTACTAAACTCCAAGAATTGAGATTTTCTTCCGACAACAAACAAATCATCATGGGCAATATTCAAGCCATTCCAGTTTAGCAGCTGGGCAATGTTCTTCTCCCTACAACGCTTTCATTAGCTTCATTTACGTCAGATTTGAAATTACCTTTCTCTATCACAAAACCTTATTTCCATTCATCAAAAAATAAAGCATAATAAAGTTAGTCTCATTTAACCCTTTTGGCTTTTCCATCATTGATCCAAAGACCATTCAAGCCCTCCTTCAAAGACCTTGTTCTCATGAGCTCTATTCCATTCCCACATTCTCCGCTACTATTCGAAGGACAGCCAATTCCAACCTCTCGCATAAGTGTTTAATGTATCCACACCAAGAAATTCTCAACACCATAGCCAATGTACATCTCAATGTTTCCTATATATTACCTATAAGTAACACTTGTTAGGTTACTAATCTCACAAGCATTCTTTTAGTCCTAGTAGAAAGTATAGATATAGGAAATTAAAACTTCCTCATTCCGATATGTGGGGTCCATCCCTAATTTTCTCTACCAATGGTTATAAATATGAAACCACACTTAAAATATAAAATCTCATAACAACGCTTCAAACCCAATTCAACACTAAACTTAAAAATTTGAGAACCCATGGTAGTGAAGAGTATAATATCACTGAATTAAATAATTTTTCAAGCAACAATGGCACCATTCATTAATACTCTTGCCCTCATACTCTGGAACAAAATAGAATGGTTGAACTAAGCTTTGAAACCTAAATGAAACTACCGGAGCCCTACTACATGAAGCTAATCTACCTTGTATTTTTGGGTGGATGCTCTCCTCATTGCCACATATCTCATCAACATGCCCACCAAAGTAGCCAAAATTATTTCACCTAACTAACTTCTACATATAACATCTCCAAGTCTTTGGATGTATATGTTATCCTTGGACTAGGCCATAATCCTCTCCCAAACTAGCACCTGTATTTTCATTGGATATTCATCTATACACAATGGCTACAAATGCTACAATGTCTCCACAATGAAAATCATCATATCTCACCAGGTCACCATGGGTGATCTCACTTACCCTTATCCCTCTACACCTGATCTCTCATCACATTACCACTCTCAATTCTCACCAATACATCCACCACTCTTACTAACACCCATTACATATATGCAATATCCGCCTATTCCCTGCCCCACCGTTTCCACTACAACCTCAAATACAATTCCACCCATCGAAGTTCTTCCACCCAATAGCTTGTCAGCTCCCTCCACAACACCTTCACCCATCATATGATTACCCATCTATAAAATGATAACCTCAAACTAATCCACAAACTAACCCTTTCACAACACCTACAACTCAATCAAGACCCCACTTGCTATACTTAGGCTGCCAAAATTGCCCACTGGGGTCATGCCATTGCTGAGGAGTTTCATCCTATTCAAAAAGAAGGTACTTGGATTCTTGCCCCTCCTCCACTTGACGTATAAATAAGAGGTTGCCATTGGACTTACAGTACCAAACTCAAATCAAATGGAATGGTAGCTTGCTATGAGACAAGATTAGTAGCACAAGGCTATAACCAAGAGCTAGGCATAAACTATAATGAAACATTCAACCTTTTTGTGAAGATAGCCACCATTCATATTCTTTTATTAAATGTTCTAAATTATGGAACTTATTTCAATTTGATGTCCCCCATGCGTTCCTACATGGCAGCCTCATTGGTACTATATATGTGTCAACCTCAACGTTTGTTGATCCATAACTTCCAAAACATGTGTGCTTTTTTTCAGAAAGCACTCTATGATCTCAAAAAAGCACTGAGATAGTGGTTCCTTATGCTCTCAAAGCTCTTCAAGGATTGTCCTCACAACTAGCAAAGCTGATATCTCCTTGTTCCTATACATTCATGAAAACATAAATCTCTTTCTTCTCATCTATACAGATGATATGTTGATCACCAACAATAATCATGCTACAATTTCTCATTTGCTCAACACACTCAATTCTATCTTTTAGCTAAAACATTTGAGCTCCATCTCATTCTTATTGGGAATTCATGCTCACCAATCTCCCAAATTCTGGTTTCTTAACCAAACATAGTACCATTAGAAAATCTTACATAGTGCTGGAATGAATGATTGTACACCGGTAAGCAAACCCCTTCCTCACAAGAAAACTACATCTACAAAGAACAACAAGCAATTCCAAAATAATACGCTATATCCACAACTAATGAGGTCTCTCCAACACCATACCATCAAATGATCAGACATCTTCTTTGTGATAAATCAACTATGCCATCATATGCACTCACCATTGGATCACCACTTCCAGCTTCTGACTTGCATATTGAAATATCTCAACAGCACCAACCACTTTGATTTGAAACTTCCTATGAGAGTTCTACAACTTCACACCTATATTAATGCTAATTTGACAACCCTCAAACCAAAAAATGTACAATGGGTTACTGCACTCCCATATCTTGTTTTGTAAAGAAGTAAAACATAGTTGCTCGATCATCTACGGAGGTGGAATATCATGCTCTTGTTGTGGCCATAATTGATATCTTATGGTTAAGATGTTTTGCATTGAATTAGTTATTCATATTACCAATCCCACTCCTCACTATTGATAACATCTCGGCTATGTTGATTGCTACCAATCGTGTATTTCACACACGTACAAAGTATATAGAGATTGTCAACCACTTCATTCAACAACATATTGGTGCACAAAAAATTAAGCTTCATTTTATAAGCTCGATAGACAAACTCACAAATTTTCTCTTCAAAGCGCTACTGAAGCATATATTCATAAAATTCAGAATAAAAATAACAGTTCACTTGGGTTATTATCAGCTTGCCTGGGAGTAATAACCAAATTCTGCTTTCGAGCTTTCCACTCACATTGGCTTTGTGTTCCATTTCTCTGTCAAATGAGCAGCTTTAGTGGGGAAATCCGAACTATTTTTTTTCTTTACTTTATTCCCTTTGTAGTCTACAAATACCTTCCTGTATTCTTCCTTTGTCTTCAATGAAGTTGATTGAGTTTCATACATCATTTACTCATGTATATATGAATAAAAAATATTCAATTATATATTGAACTATACTTTAAACTGACTTGTTGAGTTCAATTTGTAATAAATCTAGTTAATGCAAAAAAAAATTCTTGTTTGCTAAAATGATAGGTTGCATAATGAAGGCATATTAAAGCCATAAATGAAATTTATAGTTGGATATCTTCTTAAAAACAACTTAAAATTTATATCCAACTATAAATTTTGTCATTCATTGTAAGCCCATATGCAATTGGATGAATTTCTAATCATAAAAAGCTAAGTAGGTCAAATGTGAATCTCGGGCCACTTGATCCAAATCTTGACCATGACCAAACTCATTACTTTAGTTATCCTTACCTAGCATAGATATGTATTAGACTCACTTGGTCCACATTAAGTTAACCTATAAACAATCTTAAACTGTAGAAATGACCTACCCTATTTATCTATATGCGCTTAATGTTTGTTAACCCGAGACCTTCTAAGGCGTTATGAAATAACTTAGATGACCTTGGATTTATGTTGGGCCCTCAATTGGTCAAGAAAGTTTGGTTAGATTATTTTATCGATGAGGAAATGATTCTGACCAAAGTACCCCATTACCTAAGCTAATTAAATTGAAATCCTGTTTCAACCAATTTAAAGCATTTTGTTTTGAAATTGAATTTGAGAGATTCTAAATCTCTTAAGGCCCAGATAAGACCTTGCTTGACTTAAGGTTAAGAAATATTGGTTACAGTCAAGCCTAGTTTGACAATGAAACATAAATGACCCACTTTT